CCGAGATTTTTGAAGATTTTTACTTAAGTCTTTTCTCGTTGATTTTCTCGAGTTTTCAGTCATGAATCGTCGTTACACTCTTCTTCGGATTTTCTGGATGGCTTTTCTTCCAGACTTCGCTTTTTGCAATACATTTCAGCTTGCTATATTTAAGAAACAGTGGAGCCCACGGGTGTACATGTTCGTTTTACATTCACAGAATGTTATACTATTTCTGTTTATACCTGTTACTGCCCTGTACAACATGTTATTTTATTCCTGTTCTTACCTGCTACTGTTCTGTACAACATGTTATATTATTCATGTTTCTACCTGCTACTGTTCTGTACAACATGTTATATTATTCCTGTTTCTACCTGCTATTATTCTGTAAGACATGTTATACTGTTCCTTTTACTGTACTTGCTACCGCTCTATATAGCATGTTATACTGTTCCTTCTACTATACCTACTACTGTCATGTACATTGTTTTTTTTCTTGTGCTTTCTACTGCTTGTCCTGTACTGCACATTTTATGTTGTATAGCCTCAAGCCTGCATTTATCACTCTAATCAACTTTAATATCCCCCATAAAATTTAAATAACCAGGACTATAAGAAATATTTGATTTAACACCATGAAATGACAAATTAGAAAACTTAAACTTGCTATGACGAGAAGCTTTGAGCAAGCATTGTGGGTAGCACGACCATCTTCAACAGCAAAACATATCTACATCAACTAAACCATTCTCTCCTTAGAATTAAACAACTAATCCATAAGACTTCAAGGTTGTTTGCTTATGCAACTTAAATTCTCAACTTATCTTTATGCCTTTGTATAGTTCTGCTATATTTTAGGACTGTGAGATTGTCGTTCGTCACGACTTAAATCCTTACATCTTTCAGACTATTTGTGTGATCTTTTCACACGAATATGAACCCTAAATTAATAAAATTGACAGGATGAAACATTAAATTTTTTCTCCTCTAAATTGAAGCCAAATAGTAGGATAGCTTGGGAAGTCATCGAGGTTCTTCTCAGGATTTGTGACATCCTCTAGTATTCCTTTGAATCCTGTAATAAATGTTTCAAATTTGAGTCATTCTCTTTTTGCACACATGTTTGTCCGATTTCGTTGAAAAGTTCTATCCTTTTGAAGTCCTTCAAGATAAATTTTCCTGATTTTTATCGAGAGTATTCTTAAGTGATTTCAGTCATTTAAGATATAATTAACTATAAGGGCTTGCTAAATATGGGAATTTGTCGGCAAATAAAACGGTTTCGCAGACCAAACAGACGTCATATATATCTTAGTTTATTTGATCGAGTCTTATCCTCAAGTCTTGTGTTTATTCCTCGGGATAGATACATGGTTTGAGGTAAAATGCTTTTTCATTTAAACTATGAAAAATATTGGGTCAGTTTGATTTTCATATTTGATTTTAAACTTAAATCTATATGTAAATTAAAACGTCCTTCCGAGGCGGGCGACGGAATTTCGATTCCGGTGACCGACAGCTTCTTACGGGCGACTCCTCCCCCATCCCACTTTTCCTCACCGACATGCCTCAACACAAGAATGCTTTGAGAAAAACAAATACGATTAGCAAGTTATTCTATATATATATTCATGTGTTTTGGGCTTTAATAATAAAATTTTATTAGAAACTTTCTCTACAAAGCATATTGAAAGCAAGACAACCTTTGGAGGCTATGCTCAGCTTTACATGTTGGCTTTTCTATGCTTTGGCCAAGGAAACCTAAAGGGAAAGAATTTAGGAAGATTTTTTTTTTTTTAATGAAATATTATAGTTAGGTATTAATGATACAAAAACAACAACAAAACCATTTGTTCAAGTTTTAAGGATGGTTGATGCAAATAAAAAGTCAGCTATGAATTTATAATATCATATAGAATGAGACTAAGGAGTTGATATCACATAATTTGGGCGGAAGAGGTCAACTATAAGAAATTTTGAAAAATAATAATTAATTAACAGGAGCTTCAGTTTCATTTTCATTTACAAGCTATAGAATATTACCTTAATCCTTAATTTCAATATGTTGAGAATAAGTTGTCCAATCTTGAGATGAAATTTGCTTTTTATCATCATATGTATGGATTGATAGCCGATTCAATTGCGTGGGCGACAGTTACTCTGCAACTTATGAAATTTTAAAATAAGGAACGATTATTTGGACTATATCAATTTGAAGATACAGCTATAAAATATTTCCTAAATAATTTTTAACATTTTTTGGTTGAATAAGAAACGCTTCTACCAAATTTAATCGTACATTTTTTTCAACCTGATTTGAATGGTGGATTCAATTTGTTGATGACACTCCAGAGTTATAATGATTTGCAAATAAAATATTGGGTCTTACATGTTCATCATTTATTTGTGAAAGAACTTAGAGTACATACAAACAAATTCCTACCAGAAGGAGAATTTTTTTTCCTAGCGTCAGGATTAAGTTTTTTATTTTTCATCACGTACAATAAATGTTCAAAAGATACTTATTTGCCAAAAAAAGAAAAAGAAGCTTTAATGGATGAAAGAAACCATTTAGTTTATATTGGCATTCTATTAGATGAAGATTGGTTTGTGGTTGATGATAGTGAAGTTACACAATTTTATTTGTAAATAAACGATTTCAATATTGATTTTCTTGATGGGTATAGAAGCAACAACAATAGGTCTATCACAAGCCACTAAGAAATTAACATAAAATATATCTATAATAATTTGTATAATTGAAGTTGTAACCATCAATATAGTCATTGTTTTAAACCTTAATTAATATTTTTATTAATTATTATTGATTTGAAATGTTATGATTATAATTGAAGATGAGGATTGGGAGAACAGTGATATAATTGAGGTTGTGGTGGTAGGAAAGTTCATTATGTCGGTAATTTTAATGAAGATCTTCTGAGATGAGAGTGATTGTGATTTTTGAGCTTAGAAATTTTAATTTTTGCGACTTATTATACTTTTACTTTGTTGTAGGTTGTAAGCGAGATTTATTGTGTTGAACTTATTTGAATTAATATATTATTTGTTCTTATTTTGATGTTTTTATAGTTTTTCTTATTTTATGATTTGATTCT